TAACCGCTACAGTGATTGAGATAAAGTAATTATAATGATAAATATAATAAACGTTATAAGTATATGTAAATATTTCGGAATATTACACAAACTTGCGTTACAACATGAGCTTAGAAATTGCTAACAATACAACTGTTTACTGAATTTAAATAAGTAGTATAAAACAATACACAAAAGAATCGGAGTAAGGTGAATCAGGATAGAGAAGGAAAAAAAGACTTAACAATTAGTCATCTTATTTATTCATTCAGACTATAATTCCTACTTTCATCTCTGAAAATGTTTTATCAGTTTGTTGGTTCGTTTCATGTCCATTACACTGTTCTATCCTCAGTGATGTTTAGACAATAAAATTATCGCTAGTAAATGAAGTTGTCTGTATGTTTACGCTTCTTTCTTCTAACTAGTTTTTATTCATTTTTTCTTACTTCTCATAGTCCCTGATAATGATTCAGATGCTTTAACTACTGCATTCAATTCAGTTGAAGCAAAACTATTACCAACTATATCATCGACACCTTTACAAGAATTAGTTATTATTTATAATGAAGTAAGAATCAATGATGATTGGACTGTTGAGAATTTTTCTAATCATAATAATAAATCAATGAAATCCCGTTTCCTTTTTATGTTATCCAATTTATTCACTAAACGTTTTGGTAAAATGATAAAAATTACGAAAAAAAAATTTTCTGTTACATTTAGCATTTTGTGATTTTTTTATTTTTTTTAATTTTTTTAATTTTCTAGTCTTTTCATGAATTATCTAAAATACTGTTTTATTTACATTATTATTCGGATGAATATATGGTTGCCTAGGTAACATATATGACTATTATTATTATTGCTTTATTGTTTTGAGATTTCGAGTATTTTCATTCATCATTGAAAAAAGTCACTTGATGATAAAAAGTGTCATGTTCAAAATAATGGGCTTATTTACCAATGGTCATCTTTCGAACTTTTATCGTTACGAGAAAATCATTATGAATGTAGCCTACTAAGTCTAACTATTGACAATTCGTAGTAGTTCTATCCGAGCTACGGATGTAAGCTCAGCTATATAAATATAACGATGACCCGGTTGCGTTCTTAGTGTCGATTGGTAGTGTAGTGATGAAGAACACGAGTGGGGACAATCGAATGTATTTGGGCACAAAATTATTGAACATCTCACTAAAATCAGAACCATATAGTAAATAGTTAATTTGCAAAATGTCAATCCATCGACTTTTCCTTTAGCAAATATTAGTCGATTGTCTCAGATTTCATTGTTCATGCATTTTCATACCATTTGTGTTCCGTTCCTCGTTCTTTCCTTCTTGATCTACTGAAATATATTCTATGCCTGACCAACGTTCTATACCACTTATGTGTAGATATAAGTAACCCACTCCACAATAGGAACTCCCTTATTAAAGATAATATCTTGTAGTAAAGGTTCCTAGCCATACCTTCAGTCGGTTGCTGATGTTTTATTCCCAAATAGCATAGTTTTTCTCTAAATAGAAATTTCAGAATCGTCGATAAACCTATCTAGTGACTGTAAACAAGAATGAGGTTTTACAATTTAACCAATCGTCGGACAAGTTTAGGACTCGTGGTGATATGGTTTCATATAAATGCTCGGTGTTTATGATCCCTTCAGTATGGTTGCTACGGTAGAGCTAGACTACTGGTGGCTTTGAGATCAACCTTTCGAACAACAACAGATCAGGATGCAGTATTTGTAAAGACGGATATGCGTTACGATAAAGGGGGCGGCCTGCTTGAGCATCTGGGCTACCTGTTCCTGCCATCTAGATATTTCAACAAGTTATCTATTGTTGTTTGTTTTAATATATCATTATGTTTATTAATCACATAACCTATTCTGCTACGTTTCTGAAAAGTGTACAACCATTCGTTGTCAAAGTTACAGAAAACTCAATAAGAGACAATATGGTTGCTGGCAATGTACAACGAAAAGAATGTACATTATTCAGTTGTTCATTCACTGAATTGCTAACATCTAACTGGCGATCCCTCAATATTTATCGCCAGGACCGACCAAGAAGAAAGAAACGGAAACTTGTTGAAATACTTTGCGCTGAGAATTCTATATTGTACCAAAATTATAATATTGAATAAAGCTAATAATAATAAAACCACAAGGGATGTTGAGTTTTCTTAATTTTATTGCCCTGGACGTTGCGCTATCAAACTAACATTATCTCCAGACCCACCGTTCTCTTCACCTCATTTCTTGAACGCAGAGATAAAACGGCTTTTATCAACCATCCGGAATTCTATAGGTGATTTACGACCGAATCCGATTTGATAAAAATGTGAAATGCCTTGTAGAAGGTTATGATTAATTCCTCATTAAAAATCGTAAATCAGAATATTCTGTCTGCGATTTATTGGTTGGTTCGATTTGGTCCAGGATTCACTATAGTTTTCTACTTCAAATTTAAGTTCATAATGTTGAACTGCATCGTAACTAATCAGATGTGTGTGGTTGTGTAATGATAAGATTGCTCTGCATGGTAAAATGTTTGTGAGTTGACTGTTATGATTCGCCACGTTCTGAGTATCATTGGTAGTTTAATAGTCGATTCAAATCTCGTGTTGACTTCTCACTATATACTCTCATTTTATTCTGGATTTTAAGTTGGTTTCACTACTGAACGTTGTTACTGGAGGTTGGGATATTGTTGATAGATGTTATGATTAATTACACCATTCTTCGAGACACTTTCTACGTCTGTGCTTTAGATTATGTAGGAAATGTTATTAATCGGTCTGTATTGTGTTATAGTGGTTTCAGTCCACGTGAACATCTAAATTACTGTAAGGAATATAACTAAGGAAGCTGGATAATGCTTAATACCGACGGTCTTGAGTGAGTCAACCAGAATTCAGATCGCACATTTTTGTTGGGAGTGAGCGTAGAAGAATGTTATCCGATTGAAAAAAACAGTTCTGGTCATGCACTTAACCGCATCAAATACTTTATCATAAGGTTTGTTTCAGGAGTAGGTACTTCTCGTTTTCATGTCATATTCACTGCTAGGTTTCGTATTAAATAAATAAATAATTAATTTTTACGTAGCTCATAACAATAGGTGAGAGTGTCTAACGATTTATTTGGTTGAGCTATTCTACGCATTACAGAATACCATTAAATGCCCACTATGTTAGAACACCTTAAGTTACTGAGCTAAGTACTGTGCTACATCTTATTGAGAAACAACAAATAACTTTGAATATCTGATGTAAATCCAGATTACAGAATAGTTTCACCTGCGTATGAGCGTCATAATTGTCAATATCATGAAGTTTTTAATGACTTCCATCATCAACGTCTTCGGGGTCTGCTGACGTACTGTTAGTGAATGACAATATTGAATTCATGTTGGTTGAACGGACGGCTTTTTTAGTGTCCAATACCTTTGTGTCGAGCATTTATAAACTGAATGATTTTTTGCGCTCACGTTTTGCTATTGTGGCAGGGATAATGTCGAATGTACGGTGAATAAGACGCTGAAGTAAACTGTTGTAGTCAATTCGGTAGTTCGTTGATTGCTTTCTGTGCAATTTCAGTGGGTACGTTAACATCAGGGAATTAGGAATACTGGGGACTTGATCAATGTTGCTGCAGCCAGACATTGTTGGATGCAAAGTAAAATATACACAAAATGCCTGTAACATGCGTTCTGTGCCTCGCGTAATCCAGGATTGTCTACAGTCTCTCATAAAAGTGATATTTATCAGCCTTCTGCCGCTATTTTTAGTTGGTTGAGGTCATCTTGTGCGTTTTTGTGTCGTGTGGGATCCGCAGTTCATGTTTGAAGTTCTGAGTCTGGAAAAATATCCAGCGAAAGTATGAGTTTATTTATTTTTATTGTTCTTGTTTAGACATTTTTAATTAACATCGTGCTAACATTGTTTTATCAGTGAATGAACTTGCTTTAACTGTTGAATGAACGGATTTCTGTGTTATTTTTCGCTCATAATTTCTGGTTACACAGTAAGTGTGTAGAACTATGGTCTAATTCGATATTAGTACCGCTCTAATAAAAGACGTAATCGGAAAATTATAGATTTGTCATGATATAACTTCCTAATCTATAAAATCCTACGTGGAAGTCACATCATCGTCTACAATAACCCATTGCATCGTACCAATCATCAATATATGATAGAAAAGAAACTTAGACTAGAAATAGAACAATATGTTTAATATGAATAAGAGATATATGACAACACTCAAGAGTGACCACGCCAGCGAGACCAAGCTATGCCATTCGATCAATTCGATCTAGTTGAATTTATTCTTCTCGCCTTCTCTATCGTTGGGTTTTGTCTCCGCGTTAAGTGTTGAATATCTTTTTTCCCAGTTGTCTCGATTTCAGCTTTGAAGATTTTGTGGTTAGGGCCTAATACCACTACAAATGATAGTTAATAACATGGTATTCCATATCCTGTTAGGATGTTGATATTTCAACCGCGACATTCTGTTGTAGATATCCTCATTATACCCACAAATTTTTTACATTACACGGACTTCAATTACAATCTCTTTGATCATGTAGTAACTTAATTATGTGGTCAAAAGTGCTTCTGTAACTCCCAATGACATTGGCATGAATCTTCAGAAGGAATGCCAAAATGTGTTGCAAAGGTATGTCACGAGATCCATGGTAGAATGATTACACACTCAGCTTTTAGCATCATTGTATTCCGACTAGTATTCATCTTTTGAATTACCTAAGAATCTAAGCTAGATATAAACAGGTATATTTTGTTAAACATTTCTAATGTTAGAGAGGAATTATGTTAGAACTGTTTTCATCATCCAACAAACTAGAATATTTATCTTTCAACCTTCTTTAATAGCTTTAGAAGCTGACGACTAACAAATACAAATCTCTGTGTAAGACATGCCTCTTTTTAAAGATTTTTGATACCTTCATATAAACATTGGATATTGATTACTTACAACCTTGGAAATCATAGCAACAAAATGTGGTCTTTCAAACTTCAATCAAATGGCTGGAGATGAGGAGGAGAGTTCACAGGTAGAACATTCCGCATATAGTTTTCAAATTAACTTTTCTATCTAACTGTCATAGTAGTCTGTTGTTATCCATCTTTTTAATTGTCCAATTTTTGATCATCCGTTTTTGAGAGTAATTAAATTCTTTTTCAATACATTTTCAGATTATTTTTGATGAGATACAATTATCTGCTGTTTTTTTGTTAAACTATAGTCTCTCTATAGTAATTAGTTCTAAAAAACCATTTTTACGTCGAGCGTTGTCTTTTAAGCACATTATGTTTAAAAGTATGGAACTTCAAATACAATATTGTATTTGAATACATTGTATTTGATATATAACAGAATCTCCCTAGTTTGGAAAATTTTTGTGACAATCCTTCAAGTTCGATGACGTTCCTTCAAACCTTCGAGATTTCTCCAGATCTGTGCAAATGTTCGGATTTTCGTGCAGTTTCTTCAAAATTTCCCTAGAATGTTCTATAGCGAGTTTCCAAGGACAGATGAAAATCTCCACATTTTGGGGAGATTGGGTATACACTATTACTATATTAACAACAACAATAGAGTAGTAAAATGTCAGTTAAATAGTTAAGCTTTATCATCGTTTCAAACTCTTTTTTCACTAAACGATGTGTTTAAAAAATTATTACTTTCATATTACTGGACATTATGATGAGATAAAGAATAAGAGAAAAAATGTGATCAGAAGTAAATTAACAAAACAATTAAACAAAATTTGGATGATAATGAAGACAGGCGTTTACGTTAGACAGACAAGAAAAAAAAGATGGTTGACAGTATTTCTGACAGTCGTGTACAAGTTGAAGTGGGGACTCAATACTATTCAGTGAAGTCTTATAATGTTACCTACTGCCCCAGGTAGTGTAGAGGTCGTATGTTACACACAATCGTTTGCTAATTGCTTGGAGCTTTCTACTGACAAGACTGATAAAGTAAGCTGGGATGGCGTTTAACATGGGATACTTAGTGAGAAAAGGTGGTTTTTTACTAGGGTAAACACGTAGGTGAATAGGAGTTAGGGTTAGAATCCATAGTAAATCGAAGGACAAGGATCTTCCTTTACTAGCAACGGAGGATCTGATTATCGCTTGGCTTGTATTTGTTACTGATATCATGTCATATTAGGGCCAGTTTGTACTTTGTAGGGTCGATGATTTGTATTCTTTAAAAACTAGTCATATGTTATTTGACTCAATAGGTCGTTTATGTCTGCTCATAAAGACGGAAACACAATCGTCAAGCTAAGTAAAACGCATTCGGGGTGAAAACAACATTTCAGTAACCATGAAATTGTTCCCACCCACGGTATGTCATTTAAAAAGCCGCTGACAAATTATGAGCAAGTGAAGGGAATTCACAGTAATGGAAAAAATTATTTTAAGCTTTATACGGTCACAGATGCATCTGGCTTGATGTAGCTATATATTCATGCTTTTTAATTAGTACTTTTTGAAACAGCAGCAAATTCACCAGAAAAATCACCAATCAAACCACACGTGATGGGGAAGCTATGGAAGAGGCGCAAACGTTCACGTTACCTGAGCAGCAGCTTTGATGGTCAGTTAGGATCTGATGCAAATGTTAAGACAAGAATTGACAAATCAAGGGCAGCACTCCTACAATTGGTGATCATCTGCAACTCAAAACAACTGTCTACCAGCGTCAAAGTCGAAATTTTCAACACGAACGTCAAGACAGTTCTACTTTACGGAACTGAAAATAAAACCTCTAAATCCACCATCAAAAAGTGCAGGCATTTATAAACAATTGTCTTTGCAAGATAGTGAATGTCCATTGGCCGGATACCATCAGCAATAGCCTACTGTTACAGGAAAACAAATCAGCTTCCACTTGACGAGGAAATTAGGAAGATACGCTGGAGGCGGATAGGACATATATTGCAAAAATCATCAAACTTCACCACGAGGCAAGCGCTTCTTGGGATCCTAAAGGAGAAATGAGAAGAAAAAGACCAGGGGGCACATTTCGTTGGAAATTGCAAGCAGACATGAAATGGATGAATAGAAACTGGAAATGACTGGAATGGATTACCCAGGACAGAGTTGAATGGAGAATGCTGGTGGTCGGCCTATACACCTCCATGGTGGATTACAGGCGTAGGTAAGTTAATAATCGAAGGCAAGGTGTCAATTAAGTCGAATAGAATTCAGATGAAAAAAATATTAGAATTCTGTTTTATCAAGGTTTTCTTTTATATAAGTGAGAAACCTTCAAGATAAGTAAATAGTTACTTCTCAATAAACTGAGTTACTTCCATTAAATGTACGAAAACAAAATTAAGGGATGTCAAATTAGTCAATAAGAGATGTTTTTGTGGTTTAGGAGCAGTACGTACTGAAAAATGCAGTGAGTGTTTTTGAATTAATCAGCTTTATTTGGTAAACTAACTCTTTAGAAATATTCCCTAAGCAACTTTTCTATTAGAAATTGAAGTATAAAATGTCAGAAGACGTACCAAATATTCGAATGCTGGGAAATATCAATTTCCTTATACCAAATAACTAATTAGTCTGTTTTGAAGAAAATTCAGGTAGAAAAATGCTTTGGTTTAACAAAGTCAAACACTTATGATTGTTGGTAAAGCTAATGTTTCTCGTTTTGTGTAATGTATTAAGTGATAAAATACCTGCCTGACGTCCTAAAAATGATAAAATTTGATAGTCAATGACACACCCTCTGCAATTCATTCTGCTAATAACGTTAACATTCTCCTACTTTTTTGGATTTCTGTGTTAAGTTATTTAAGGGTGAAATGCTATAATCTGATACGTTTTATTTGTGATGTTCTGATGTAACCTGCTACTAATCTATAAATAGCAGTTATGAGGTATAATGAGAAAATATGCTAATGTGTTTTGTCTCAGTTCAAAATAATAAATTTTCAGTTCAGGTATTCTGGAAAAACATTTGTGTAATATAATAATAGTAATTATACATTCCGAAGCTAATAATTACAGAATTCATGCCAGCTTATAGGCATGAGCAGCTTGATACAGATAGTAATGTTAAATGTAGATGACATATGACGTGCTAGATTGTTTGAAGCTTTCTAAGTCAAAAATTGTTTCGGAAGCACATTTTTCTACATGTATTGCATTAATAAAAGGCGTCCGCCGGTGACTTTTAATTCTGTTTAAGTGACATTCTGTTCATGTATGAGTAGTTTATTTAAGGCTATATCTTGCGCCATAATAAAGTGTTTATAACCATCTACGACTAGAGTAAATACAACGGAAATAGAGAGCAAGGAACAACAAACTCAATGATCACTATAATACATCAGTTAGATCTATCATAATAATTGTGCTAGGTTATTTTATGATGTACTGTCCAGGTTAGACATTATTCAAGTTAGTTAGTGCCACCATGGTTGGTGTTAGTGCTAAGTAACAGAAGGTTAGGCGGTTTGCTTAGTGGTCTCGGTAATAAAAACAGTTAAATATTTAAAGTTCCTATAATTGTACCTGTGGAGTTGGATATAATTATGGGTGTAAGAAAATTTAAGGCGTTTTCAATGGAGAAGCAAGCATTGATTTAGCAAACGAAGGATGAGAGTGATTTCATTTTACTTCCAAATTGTGGAAAATTACATAAGTCTGAAAACATTCAGTGACAAAGTAATTCATATGAAGAGAAGATTTAGAATGACACTGTTACACTATGCACAAAGATTTACGAATGTTGTAACTAAGGTTTTTTACATATTGAATTGCTTCATTGGGTATAAAAGATAGTTTATTAAGTACTCTGAAGAAGAGGATTGGATTTGGTTTGAGTCTCTTCTTTCGTTAAGAGTCAAGTTCAAATTTATTGCATATGAACTCATAATTTAAGGTAAAGTCAGTGAGAGATTTCAAAGTGTAAGTCGTCTTTGACAGTACTAACAATAAACACGCAGTATTGGAGAAGTGACTGAACACATACTTTGTACATTAAAATACGTGACTCTCTGTTAGAGAGGTTACAAACTATGCAAATCAGAGGGTATTAAGACCTGGAGGTCTATTTCGAGACTTGTTCTGAGAAGGATAAATTGTAGGATTACCTGAATCCTAAGTTCATTACTGAATGTGACTTGGATAACACCTTACCATTTATGGTAAGATCCGTGTTGAGTGAAGTATTGCTAAAGCAGATCCATCCACATTTATCCATGTCAAGCTCCAACTACCATTTTAAGCACCACTTGGCTACCTTGTCGAGCTTCATATTGATGCACTTTCGCATGTTCTTCAGCTCTTGAGGAAAAAGTGAATAGACTACTTTACGGTCATCTGCGTATTGAAGAGGCTTACCCATACAGAAACTATCGCAAATATCATTTACATAAATTAAAACTAGCAAAGGGTCTAAGACCACCTTCTATTACACCACTTTTGAATGGGACAGCATCCGAAAAGGCGTTAATTTAGACTATTTGATGTCGGTGGCTGGAGATAGAATTAAACCAAGCAAGCAGAAAATTATCAGCCTCGTAAGATGCGAGTTTGCCTATAAGAAGCTGGTGGTTAACCATGTCAAAATCTTTAGAAATGTCAAAGTTAAGCAGTAAGACTATATATCCCCGGTTACATTAAGTAATGACCAAATTGAAGAAATCAAATATATCTCCTCGTTTGTCTATTAATTGTTGTAAGTGAGACCCTAAAGCTATTCTTAAGGACATGTTTTCCTGTGTCATGTAAGAAGTTTGATTCTACCATGAAATCTTTATCGTCATAAAAATGTTTTCTTTGTGGAGGCAAAAGTTCCATCATTGATAACATTTTATGTCATTCATCTACTAGTCAGAAAACTGCATTGAATATTCCCTTAAACCACAGAACAGGAGCAAGCTATTAAAATAGCATTCAAAAGGCTAGTAATAAGTAAGTGTATGTTTTTGTTTGGGCAAATGTTTAATGCCTTTAAGTAATTTTTCAACCAGCTGATTCTATTTTAAATTGCTTAATGAAAATTATAGCTAAGAATTTCTCTTTTATCGTATTTTTAAAAGCTGAAGAACACTCATCTTAACGTTAATGCATGATTAGAAATCTCTTGTTATGAACAGTTGGAGTTATTTATTGTGGAAGGCGTTCAGGATTTACTTAAACTAATGTACTTATTCATGTATGATATAATTTACTTCATGTTCATTTACAGACTCCAGATGATACAGATGCAGTGGTTAATCAGCAAGTTATTAACAAAGAACTAATTACGTTGCCAGAAAATATAGCTAACAAGATGCAAAGTGAAATGCCATTACTGAATGAATCTATTGGTCGAAAATCACCTTCACAAACGAAAGAGAAGTTTGAAAAATACACATCGGATCATAGAATTATGCGTCGGATCGTAGCTGAAGATCCTAACTATAATTTAACTATTGTACCACCGTTAGTTGATTTGTGCTTAAAACATTGCACAGAAAATTTTGAATGTAAGTCATAGCCATTTTATGATGTTTGAGAACTTTATTTAACTACTGATAATGTTCAAAGTAATATATTTCTAAATTGAAAAATAAAGGACATCCAAAATTAAATAATTTGATCAAACCTCAGCAACTAAATGGAAGAGTGAGTTACTGAGGCTGAAGTTGTAGTGTTTTCTGATAACACAGTAAAACAGAACTGAGGAAAGACTAAAAATCAAGAAGTTGGCAACAACAAGTGGAATCACCGAGTTATTATTCATTCCCTCTACTTAAGCGTTCTCGCGCGAGACGGATGGGTCCTGGGTTCGAATCTCGCAGGCGGAATTGTGGATACGCTGAGTCCCATACTAGAACGAAACGGCCATCCAGTGCTTCCAGGTTTTCCATTGGAAGGTCGTTTAATCCTAGTATGGGTCTCCTTAGTAGTGCACATCCAAAATGTCACCCAGCGTGATTCGAATCCAGAATCTATCAGTCTCGCACGTGAACGCTTAACCTCTTGACCACTGAGCCGGTACCCGACGGTATTAATGTTTAACTTCAACCAATCCACGAAATCGCGCCACGTCAATTAGTTTTTCATCATCGCTCTACACTAATATATATGTATGACTTACAACAATGAAATAGTACTCATCGAATAGATACATTACGTAGTAATTATATAACGACATCTCGATTATAAACTAACATTGAGTAATTTGAAGGAAGGGGATCTATAATAATTGAAGTAATTATTCAAGAATCAATCAGTTGCTACGTTGCATAATAGATAAAAAAGAGAATAAGGAACTAACAAAATATTTTGATGAATAATCAGTAGTATAGTAGTTAGGTAAGGATCAAGAGACGAATGTTGAGAAAAAGTGAAATACAAAAAAAAGTGGAAAAAATACGAAAATAGTTTGCCAAAGTTTTGTTACAAACTGCCCTATATCAATGGTTAAGGTAGCGAGAATGATTGTACAAACTTTTTTTGGATGCAAAGGTTTTGTTTGTGAAAATGGATTCCTATAGTTTTAGTAATGTACAAAAGGCAAACTCCTAAATCTTCTTTATTTATCAAATGTAAAAGATGGGAATTTCCACTATATTCTATATTCATTCATTTAGTGATAGAATCTCATACTTATATTTTGTGCTAGTGGCTTAAATAGTCAGTTCGTCCTGGTAGGAAACTTCACAGCAATGTGAACTCGTGAACCCACAGGTCTCATACCTGACACTTAACCATCAGACAAATCAAGTGACAGTTTACTGGTACAATTCCAATGAATTCGCGATATAGCACAACTATCATCCATCGTACACGTTTGGGCTCTATCTATCACGGATTTTTACTAGAACTTCAGGAACATCTTAAAGTAATTCGAGTTATCTTGAAAATAAGCTGAACCTAAGAATTGTACTATTAGAAATTAATCCAGTGGTTAAAATGGTTAGGCACTTACCGTCTGACATCAAAATTGTAAGTTCAATTTTTGGTGTAGTTGTGCATTATTGAAGAGTTTTACAATAGGACGAAACATTATTCAGTCCTCTTCGATTTTTAATAATAATACCCCGATTGAGATCAATCTATGATCATTACTATCTATAAAATGAATCAACTTTCAAGGAAACCTCTTTGATTATTCACTTAGTTACCCATTTACATTACTATGACTCCTTTAATTAAATTTTTATATTATTTCAAGATAATCCAATACCATTTATGTATATGAATGAAAAACAAAAACGTCGATTATTAGATGCTTTACCACCGAATTTATCTTTGAAAGTAATATCACATATTATTGATGATAATGATCCATATTGGATACGTTGTTGCTATGCAAAATGGCCAATTATTGATATAAGCCAATATGATGGATCATGGAAACGTGCATATTTTGAACGTTTATTAGAAGAAATTATTGAAACATTTATACCTGGTACAACATATACATCCCGTTTAGAGGAATGTGTTCATTATGCTGCACCATATATTCAACGTCTTATTATTCAACAACTTTTACCTCCATTAAAACAAAAAAATAAACAAACTAAATTGGTAAACAGTAGTTTTTTGTTTTGTTTTTTCTAATTTACACTTTATATATAAGGTGAAGTTAAAATGTTTTTTGAAAAAATAATTTTGATGAAGTTTTATTCTTTGCAGTTTGTGCTGTTGATGATGATGATGTTGTTCAGAAGAACGATGAAAGCTCCACGATCAAATTATTCAACTCAAAGAATAAAACTTCATCAAAAACATTCAACTGAGTAGATACTCGTAAGTTACTGGTATTTCATCACAGATGCCTTAGAAATATTGATCGCAACTGATGGGATTATCGGGTAAGTAATAGTGAGGTTAGACGTAGGGTATTAGGGAATGATGGTAAATCAGTTGATGAGGTTGTAAATCGTCATCGACTAAGATATTTGGGCCACGTGTTACGTATGCTTGAACACCGATTACTACGACGCGCAATGCTGACTGGTGTTGGAGATGGTTGGAAGAATGTTAGGAGTGGCCAAACCACAACGTGGCATCAGTCTTTGAAGTCACTAACTTCTAGTCTTAGTCATGTCGTTAGATGCAGAATACTTGGTTGGGGTCCGCATGACTATCGTAACCAATGGTTGAAGACTGTGTGTGACATGGCTCAGAATCGACCACAATGCCGTGGGCGTATACACTTTTGTCTTCCTTTAAACAGTGAGATTAAAATCGCTTCATATTTTTTTCTACGAACTAAATCCTTCTTCCTGTACTATATCGTTATATGCAAGCTTTCCTTTATATATTAGCACTATTGAGGTGACTACTTCTATGAATCCGGTGTTCATGTTGTTGTGCTAATGTGGTGTGCAACTTGAACTGATACATATATGTGCCTGGTCCTACGTTGTAACTGACTGATCATCTCAAAATATTTTATAATTACATTCAAGATTTCAATAAACTTTGATGAGATTGTGCTGTTTGAGTTAAATGGTTTTATTCTATAGCTTTCATTGTTGTTTTGGAGTTTATCATTATGGCCTACTTCAACTAAAATGTTTTGAAATAAATCATAATAAAATAACTTTATTTATTAATATGGAAGTTGTTAAACTTCATAGTTTACGTTATATACTAACCTTAATGGCGAGACTATAATTCACAGTCGAATCAATCAGGTATTTTGGCTCGAAATTCACTCACCCATTCAGCTAAATAGAGTATTGGCATTATAGGTGATATCAATTCATGATGAAAATCCTAAATGTAATTCCTAACCATAATTCATAAATCGAATTCCTCACACTAATTTATAACCCACATTTCGTCCTAGTTCTTAGGTAGACACTCTCAAGGTCAATCTAGCTTCACTGAAAAGTTGTTCATAAATTATAGTCTCATCACCTTAATTAAACAACCATTGAGAAGTGTAAAGGATAGTATAACTGTGTTTTTTTTTTGTACTACTAGCATGAAACTCCTCTAGAGTAAGAATCCACAACTTCATCGAAGATCTAATCAGAATTTTCAGTCACACAAGATGTATTTCACCATTAGATCATGAATCTAATACATAATTGTTATGACCTTGAATCGCTTTTACCCCGTGATACTTGTTATGACTTGACCTTGGTCTGTCTAGTCTAAATTATGACCTTGACGCGCTAGGCTACGTGGCTTAACCTTGAGTCTAATACGCGTGAGTTCAATTGGGGTAGAGAGAACTATTCTAAATCCTGATTGGTTGGCAAGCACGCAAGTGAAAGAAGACAAGACAGCTGGAACACTAAACTCTGGATTCTCTGAATTCGAATTAGTACAAAAATGTACATGAATAAGTAAGTGAATATCTTGACCACGACGTAGGATAATTTGGAAAAATACAGTTATGCCCGAAACAGGGAATTAGGGTAGAAAATACAGTGCAAAATATTATGTTTAAATTACAATAATTTTGGAACGAAAAAGGGTATGCTAATGAATGATACATAGAACGAAAGCTCGTGTTATGTAGAATAAGATAGGGACAGAAATAAATATAAGTGTTTTACAGGTTTTGAATGAAATGCAATAACGTCCCAAGAAAATAGCTTTCGTAATTGTCTGGGCTTCTTAATTCCCCCGTTCATAACAATAATGATTTATCATTTTTCAATTATCTAACATAATCATTATAGATGTTCAATACTCTATACTTATCTTATCATATAGGATGATGATTCCGGTACTGAAAGTGAATTAGAACAATCTCAGATACCATTACAAATGGATCATTTAAATTTCAGTTTAATATTAGAAAAATTATTTAATTTAAATGAATTAAGTATAACTTATACAATAAAAGATTGTGGAATGAATTTTGAATGGTCATTATTTCAATTTACAATAAATGATTGTTTAAATTTATCAAAAGCAATAAAACAGCATACACATTTAAAAATATTGAATCTTATCAAGTTAGTTTAGTTCTTTTTAAAATTTATTATGTCATTTTATTTTTTGTCTGAAATGGATCCAAGGGGACTCTATAGCAATGTGCATTCACAATCCCTCATGCAGGATTTGAACCTTACGACCTTCGGTTCTACATGCGAACATTTAACTTCTAATGCTTTCAGATTTTCAATAGTGGTTTAATATTGATCGATTCATGATCTTAATCAAACCTCTTACTTACACCTGTTCACTCCCAATGGAGTATAGGCCGTCAACCAGCATTGTCAAACCCACTCTATCCTGAGGCTACCTTTCTAGCTCTTTACAATTGTTGTTCATTCTTCTCATGTCTGTCTCCATTTCTCGGCGCAGTGTGTTCTTTTCTTTACCTCTTTTCCTTTGGCCTTGAGGATTCCAAGTGAGGGCTTGCTTTGTGACGCAATTGGATCAACAGTTTGATCCAACCAGCTATAACATCTCTCTAAGATCTTAGGAATCAGTCAACGGCTATTCATTAACAAACACACGAATATTGTTGTGAAGAAAAGTTTATTTACAAATTTCCGTTTTCCAGATAACTGTTTGAAACAAAGAAGTAATCAATACCACGTTGATTACTCGATGAATTCTACCACCTTGGTAACAGTTAATGATGGTCATGTAATATTGTACAGTGACTGAATGTAAATTACATAGAAATTCAATTCATTAGTTTGAAATTATCTTGCCTATTTTAATACCTGGTACAAATACTGGATTCCGCCCTACATGATATCTTAGATGAGCACTATTCAGGACCCTCGGTAGGATCAAAGATGAGCATTTTCAGGGTGCACATACTAATATGAAACCACTTTACAGTGGATCCTCTTTTTCAATGGTTGACTTTAAATATTTATTTAAACAGATAAACATTGGTAGAAGGAGGCATCAAATAGATATGCGCCACATAAATGGCTGGGATACTGACTGACTGAGCAAACCGAACCAGGTGGTTTTCTTAGGGTGCCACACCCCGAGCATTTAACCTAGAGGTCTAATCCACATGTCAGTTTGGCACCGTTAGAAGATACATTCTCATGGTAGCCAGTGACCAAGAAATTGTTTATACACCATTTGTTCCTTTAGGATCCTGGAGCCTATGTACACTATATGTTTGGAATCAAGATTTTCCAACTCCTATGGGTGGATTCACGAACCCGGTTAAAGTGCCAGACATTCGCTTTTCGTCCTCTCAATTTCGTAAACAACACTCGTGATGCGAGAAGGCAGTGAGTAGGACTTCCCTGACAGTGGTTGTATGCATATAGTTATGTGAGAGCATTTCGTGAGAGAAAGAGACAGAGAGAGCTAACTCTCCCCACCCTTGGCCGTATCAGGGCATTTTGTAGGTTCTTTCATCATTTTTTTTACTTTCTTCATCATTTACTTATTCAAACTTCTTATAAAATTGTTTTTCTTTTATATTAATTATTCAGTAGTCATGTGAATTCTGAACAATGTCGTTTATTAGCAACTCATTTACAAAATCATCCAACTATAGAATGTTTAAATTTATCCCATAATTCAATTGGTTATCATGGTATACGTGCATTAAGTAAATTATTAACTGGTAAAAATCATATTAAATCATTAAATTTAACAAATAATCATTTAAAGTCAACAAGTGGTTTAGCATTAGCTTATGCACTTTCACAATCAGATTGTCATTTAGTACAATTGAATTTACGTATGAATAAATTACAAGATGATGGAGGTATTGCTTTAGCAAAAGTAAGTTCCTTATGAAATGTCTGTGTTATCTTTTGTTTATATTTGTTAATGTTAAGGAATGAAACTGGTAGAATTTGTTGGCATAAATCATCCATTCTGAGTGAACTCATTTAGTTTCTTCATTTAATCACAATAAATTTTCAATAGTTTGAATTGGTTTTTTTTCTGGCTAGCGGTTTTTTTAGCGAGTAATTTTTCTACGGGTTAGGGTCGTTAACCCCATGCCCAAGCCTTTTTCTTTACTCAGGCTTGGGACCGGCATTAGCCGCGGAGGGGGGCTCTAGGTGCAAATGATCTGGCTCTTCTATCGCACATGAAATAGCAAATGCAGGAGAAGACGATCAGTGTAGCAGCAGCAGCAGCAGCAGCCTCGGTAGCAGTAGGTCTCAACATACACGAAGGGAAAAGCAAGATTCTCCGATATAACACAGCATGCAACAATCGAATGACACTTGACGGAGAAGCTTTAGAGAATGTAAAAACCTTTACATATTTGGGCAGCATTATTGATGAACACGGTGGATCTGATGCAGATGTGAAGGGGCGGATCGGCAAAGCAAGAGCAGTATATCTACAACTGAAGAACATCTGGAACTCAAAACAACTATCAACCAACGCCAAGATAAGAACTTTCAATACAAATGTCAAGACAGTTCTACTGTATGGGGTAGAAACCTGGAGAACTACGGAAGCCATCATCCGGAAGATACAAGTGTTTATTAACGGTTGTCTACAAAAAATACTTCGGATCCGTTGGCCAAACACTATCAGCAACAACCTACTGTGGGATTGAACAAACCGTATTTTAGCGGATTAAGAAATCAGGAAGAAGCACGTATTGAGGGAAGCACCCAACTGCGCCACAGGGCAAGCCCTCACTTGGAATCGTCAAGGCCAAAAGAGAAGAGGAATACAAAAGAACACATTGCGCCGAGAAATGGGAACAGACATGAGAAGAATGAACAGCAATTGGTTGGAACTAGAAAGGAATGCCCAGGACAGAGTGTGTTGGAGAATTGTGGTCGGCGGCCTGTGCTCCATTGGGAGTAACAGGCGTAATTGAATTAAATTGAATTTTTTAACAGTTAGTAACTACGTGAGGAATCGATATGGCGCGTTTCTTCCTATTTCAAATCCGTCAGGCCGATATGTCTTTATTTTAGTGTTGATATTCACACAGACTCGAACTCAATACTTTGTGGTTCAAATGATAACATGTTTTCCATAAAGTTTCTGAACTCAGACGCGTGATGCCTTCCATTTTGGTTTGGAAGCGGTCTTCAAGAAGCTCTTAACTTAGGTTTCATGTCAAAGATTGGAGAAATTCATCAGGATTATATCAATCACTCAAAATGGTTGTTTAATTTATTTCTCTTACAAGTTTTTAGTTAGTTAATAATGAACAACTTAAAATCTACCAAAAATACTCATCAGTCCAACATATCATATTTCACTTCTATTACGTCCTTGATCTGTATAACCAATAATGTACAAGGGAGAACTTTTGTCGATCCGGGTTGAGACGTTGACACCACAGACTAGCTGGTTTAACCTTGAGGCTAAAAATGCATTGGTCAGAATTGAGACTGACTGCCTTAAGAAGAGGAATGAAAACTATTCTGTTTCAGCGAGTTTCCATTTCTTATTTCTTGATCGATATTGACGATGAATATTGAGAGATAACCAGTTAGATATTAGCATTTCAGAAGTTGACATCTGAATAATGTTCATTCCTTTCAATGCATATTGTCAGCCATCACAATGTCTTCGATTGTATATTTTTATAACTTGTACAGCAAAAGGTTGTAAACGTTTCACAAACGCACCTGAATAGGTTATGCAATTAATTGACATAATGATCTGTTAGAACAAACACGAAGACAGGAAACTTATCGAAATATCTAAATGGTAGGAACAGGTAGCCCAGATATTCAAGCAGGCCTTCCGGGAATAGAATAGAATAGATGCCAACCAAAGTTTTGCAAGTACTTTCTACACAAATCAAACCAATAGTCGATGAATACATGGACTAAATCTGCGTTAAAACATCAAATTCACCCCAGAATCTTTATTCTTATTTGAATAAATTAATTATGAGTTCATTTGTAAACAAGATCAATATATTCACAGAATTTCATCCAATTCATCAACCAATTGAAGCTAGATCACTATGGAAAACCTAGAAGCACTGGAAGGCCATTTCATCCTAGTATGGGACTCCTCGTTCACGGGATCTGAACTTTGGACCTGTTAGTCTCGCGCATGTGGACGCTTAACTTCTTGACCACTGAGCCGCTATCCAACGGTGTCTAACTTCAACCCATTCATTAAATTGCACCACTTTCCATCATTGTCTTCAATGAGTTACCATCTCACAACAGACTCAGTTGAATTGCATTGGCTTCCATGGTGATCTAGCTTTAATTGACTCATGAATTCAACTATTAGGTTACTATAATATTCACAAAATGTCTAGGATAAAATGAAAATTCATTAGCATCTACTAATATCTTATTAAACAATGGAAAAAATAGCTAATTTCCAAATAATGATCAATATCCATTTGTCCTTTGAAACTGTTCCATTAATGTAATGTAATAATGAATTCATACACTAAACGGTGAGACGATAATTTATGAACGAACCAATCAGATATAAGATCATAGGACTGCTGGGAACGTTAGATCCCCAGAACACACTTGGAAAAGATCCTAATTTTGTAATATTATTTTGAAAATTTGAATTGCTGTGTTTTCGCGCCAAAAGTGCTCTTTCCATCTTCATGTCGTATTTCCCACTTAGGAGAATCTTAAATGCTATTGATCCGTTGTGTCTTTTAGCATGCTATTTTGTAACGCTTCCCAAGGACGGTTTGTGCTGTATATTATATGTTTTGATTTGTGTCTGTTGTTATCACTCGTGCTTCTGGCTTTTGCGGAATATACTTCCCCCTTTCGGACGCATCGGGACAGCTAGGTTATTGGTCTTTGGTCACAAGTATTTGTTCAGTTCACAGACAAAGTGAACTCGTAATCGCTTCAAACATAGCAAGTACTTGGATTTTTTTGGCGCGAAATTCATTCATCCATATTGGTCGAATAATGTTTTAGCATTCTAGTTGATGTCAGTTCGTAATGAAAACCTTATACGTAATTTCTAACCCTAACCATCAACTGTAAATCTGTAATTCCTCATACTGTTTTAGTCCTAGTTAGTAGATGAACATTCTCATGGTCAATTTATCGTTGGTCTCACCTACTAAATTTTTGAAATGGTTGTCATTAGTGATTTGATTTTTCTTTTTCTTTTGTTTAAATTTGTTTAGGCATTAATTCAAAATTCTACATTGAAAGAACTTAATTTAGCAGTAAATGATTTACATGAAAATACAGCAACATATTTTGGACATGTACTTACACAGAATAGTACATTGACTCATTTAGATTTATCAAATAATCAAATAGGTGTAGTAAGTTATGTAATAATAATTATTTCTTATATAACTTGTGCCCTGTGTCCTTATTAATGTATAACATAATGATACCGCCAGTTAGAGAACAGTGGTTTATTGACCGGACTAATGACGCTTAAAACCTGTACGAGAAGTCTAGAGTCCTTAACGATTCTGCTTCCCGCCTATCACTGTCTCTTGGAGTCCAGAACATCAGTCTAAGCCTTTGTGATATGAATCATTTATTTCAAACATACTGGGTTTATATACAGACCAACCAGACCACATCGTACCCTAAAATGGGAAACAATGTTTGTACAAGACTTAACCAAATGTGGCTGTCAATGTGGGAGGTAGTGAATAATAGACTGGGTATAACTCAAGAATGACGAATCGTATAATAATAATTCATAGGTCAAAATAAAGCTCATAATAAGAGGGACACGAATATGAATAATTCAGTTACTTAACAATTATACGATAAAAATATACGTATAGTATTGGTTTATAAATGGATCCCAGCAAATACCATTCATTATTCTCATCGGGATATGACAATTTCAGAGTTAGATATTCATTAGGCTTTACTACAAAATACAATAATGTTTATATGAATGCATGAAAAAGCATAAACTAATTATAGAAATTTCCCATTCAATGATAACAATGAAAAAGGGATTATAGATAGTATGAATTGATAGTAAGATTACAGGTATATTATTAATTGCCTTCAAATGCGCTGGTATGACCGAAAGTGTGGAGAGTCAGATCTCCCTCTCGAAATACTCTCATATGGCCATATGCATACAACCATTGCCAGAGAAGTCCTATTCACTGTCTTCTCGCCACTGGGGTGTTGTTTACCAAATTGAGAAGACGAAACGCGAATGTCCGGCGCTTTAACTGGGTTGGTGGATTTATCTAGGGGAGTTGAGAAACCTTAATTCCAAACCAATAGTGTACATGGGCTCCAGTATCCTGAGGGAACAAACGGCGTACAAACCAACTGTTGGTCACCGGCTACCATGGGACTGTATCTCCTGACGCTGCTCTACTGCCTCGTGGATCAGACATTTAGGCCAAAGACTCGAGGTGTGGACCCTAAGAAAACCACCTGTTTCGGTTTAGACACACAGGCAATATCCAAGCCCTCACATAAATCGAATGATTTGTGTGACGCATATCTATTTGGTGCATCCTTGTACCAGTATTTATATGTTTAAATAAATAATAATTATTATAAGAATGATAGACTTATACCTGAAGTGTTTACTGATGGTGTCGTTCGGAAAAAATGATGAAAGCTCCATGACTAAATTATCCAGTTCAGAGAACAAAACTCCATCAGACAACATAGACAACAGTATAGAATAGAATGAATTTGGAGAAAAGAATCCATGAAAATAATAATCATCAAAAATTACATAAATACGAAACGCAAAAGATGAAGAAGAACGGAATAACAATGAGTGTGAATAATTAGGAGAATTGTCTGTTAAATCTTATGTAGGGTTTCATGTCGACTACCTCCAACCACCATCTAATCTCAATACATAGTGCACACAGCGTCGAGTCACCTAGACTGGTGGCCACATTGCAACACGGTCGATAGGATTCGATCTGCACTAATAAGGACTTGATACACATGACATTGATCACCGCCCAGTGACCAATCACTTGTGAAATATGAAAGCCTGTTGTCGTCTTGTAAGGTGAATGTCCTCTATAGCTACAAATGAAGGATAGTTGTTCAGTAGTGTTTTGAGTTAGTATCAGTATGTCAAGAAGGTTTCTCTAAAGTTATTTTATTTTTACAAAACAGTTGTTTACTTAATGCATTTATGGATGGCTGACAGTCGTATTTCATAATATAATACTTTACGACATTCAGTGTTCTGAATTACGAATACAAAGCTTGTTTTATACAGTACAATCTTCGAAAGGTTGATATCTAACCTGAAAAAGCATCCTGCAGTGGAGTACCAGTCAGTCAGTGAGTGATGAACAACTTCGAACTGGGCAATGATAATCTTTTCTTCAAGTCGTTTCACCATATTAGCACAACTGAATGAATTTTTCAAGACAAATTCAACAGTAACAACAGTATTAGTGGTAGTGATGTGAACGAGAACACAAGCGTGGACAACCAAATGTATTTAAATAAAAAATTATTGAATGTCATCATAGTAAAATCTGAGAATCATACAGTAAATTCTTCATTTGAAAAATGTCAATCAATCGTCTCAGACTTGATTGTTCTTTCGTTTCGACACTAATCACTCTCTATTCTCGTTCCTTTTTTCGATCTTCTTGACCTTCTGCCTCCAAGCATTTCACTTTCGATTGATGATACATACTACTTATATCTATGGTCAGTAGCACACAGTACAGTATCAAAATGGATTAGGCATGCAACATGAGTCCAGAAGAAACAAAAATGAATTCTTTGAATAAAACGTATAGGCACGCTAAGACAAAGAGTCAATACATATGCACCATTGAGACCGATATTGTAACATATTCAAAATTTTTGACCATTAGTCATATTAATCGTCCGGATTGTAACCAACATTACTCAATTCCATCTTTGCCTAGTACCATGTGTCCAACTTTGTTACTTCCAATTAGACAAAGGAGGAACACGTAAAGAATAATCAGTATAAGAGTCTAATACAGATAAGAGAAAGAAAGAAGAATGAGTTTTTGACTCAAGAAACTCATACAGTCAACAAATATGTATTAGTTAATACGCTCGATTATAATTAGTAATGCATCAAGAATGAAATTACACAAAAACTAGTTATAGAGACTAGAAGTTGATAATAGTAAAGTTTTAGATGTGTTTTCTGTCTAAAATATTGGTTATGCCTAAGGTTTAATTCATTATAGATCGATTTCAATAGGGGATACTAGCAAAAACCAATACGGGACTCCACGGGGATAAAGATGCATGACTCCATTATTAATTGAACCCAGGACCTTCAAATTTATAACAAATAAATAACTATTAGATCCATTAGTTGTGTATCCAGTGACACAATTTCAATTTAAGTCAATTTATGACATGACATGACTATCAACTAAGACCATTAATGATAACTATATTACTCTCTGCATGCCTGAAATCCACCAATCACGATTTCTCACTATATGTTCGGGAATATTTTGAAGTAAGTCGGGCTATATCACAAATTGACCCAATGGTTATAAGAGTTTGGCGTTTATCATGGATGGTGGTGTAATTTGTGGATTGGTTGGAGTTAGATATTAACACCGTTGGATGCCGGATCATTGGTTTAGAGGTTGAGCGTTCGCGCACGAGATCGTGAATGCACAATACTGAGGAGTCATATACTAGGATGAAATGGTCGTTCTGTGCTTCTAGGCTTCCCATGGTGGTCTAGTGTTTTAATTTTCCGTTGGTAACCCGAATGGAGATCAATCTGTGACTAATACAACCCGTAGATTAAATCAATCTTCATGAAACACTTAAATAAACTATACTGCGTATTTATTAACATCATCTCTATTTGTAAATGAGCTATCACTTGCTCAATTCAGTCAGTCCTTCATGTTCTTGTTTGATCTTTATTTAATTAATACAGAGATGGTGTCAGTTTTATAAAAAAAAAACCATCTGACTATGATTTTCAATGGTTTCTTCACTGTTTTTCAACTTCAGGTTGGTAGTAAAAAGCTTCAAGATGGAATGGATCAGAATTCATCTTTGATTCATTTAGATTTACGTTTCACTGGTAGTAGTCAAGAAGCGGAATATGCAATAAGTCAACGGATTGAAATGAATCAAGCAATGAATTATAAATTACAAGTAAGTAAATAAAGTATGTTTGTTATTAAGTAGTAATATTATTCAATAATATGAGTATTAATAACGTGAGTCAACACAAAAGTAGATGGACATTTATATGGTTTTTTCATTATAAACTGACTTCGATTGATAACCGTTTAAAAGTTACAAAATACAACTTGGTCATTTCATTTCAGTGTCGAACACCTCAATATACTCACATATAACAGAGAACTTTATGCCATTAGGTCTACATTTTCAGCCCCCCCCCTCGAAACAGGCATTATAATACAATTCTCGTGCAGTGTCATCAGTAAGTTACTGTATCATTCAAAACCTAACTGACTCTGTGAATTCATCATGAAACTAACCACGAATAAGCAAATTATTATTGTTTATATTCTGATCAGATGTGACTCTATCCAACTGATCCAACGTTTCATCAGTTGGTTAGTATGTTTAGTAATGACATTGTTATCACCCTTCTGTTCTTGTTAACTGAATAAACTAAACATAAGAAGAATACAACCTTGTGGTAAAGGTTATGGAGAGAAAGTGATACTTAAAAGTTAAGTGTATTTATAAGTAGTTAAAATGACCAATATTGTTTACAAAAGGATATGCTTTGCTTATAATAACTTGCCAACATTTACATTTAATTTATTATACAACCTCGGTTACTTTAGGCCAGTTTACTTGAGATAGTGTGTTAATTGTCAATACAATTTACCTGGATAAGTTAATCTGAGAAAAGTCCAACTATTGAAATTGAGTTATCTGAATTCATTGTCTATTCATGGACAATTATGCTGTCTTAAAACTCATTATAAAGTACCCAATCAAACTGATTTTATCAAATGTTATCTACTATGACAGCTTATCATAAATTGTCAGTTCAAGGTTTGTATTAAACCATAATACAGCTAAGTCTTTAATACTTCATTATTTACTTACTAACGCCTGTTATTCCTCGTGGAGGAGCATGGGCCATCTACCAGCACACTCCATCCAACCACTTTCTAGGCAATCCTTTCCAGTTCTTTCCATTTGTTGTTCATGCTTTTCATATCTGCTTCCATTTACCGACATATGTTCTTCGGCCTTCAACCTTTCCGCTGCCTTTCAGGATTCCAAGTTAGAGTTTGCCTCGTGATGCAGTTTGATGATTTCCGTAATGTATGTCCTATGCATTTCTATCGTCCTTTCCTAATTTCCTCTTCAGCTGGAAGCTGGTTTGTCCTCTCCCACAGAAGGCTGTTGGTGATGGTATTCGGTCAACGGATATTGAGTATCTTGCGTACACAGTTGTTTAGAAATACTTATACCTTCTTGATGATGGTTGTAGTAGTTCTCCAAGTTTCAACTCCATATAGTAGAATTGTCTTGACGTTCATGTTGAAGATTCTGACTTTGATGTTGCTTGACAGTTGTTTTGAGTTCCATATGATCATCAAATGCAGAAATGTTGCCCTTGCTTTGCCAATCCTTGCCATTATGTCTGCATCCGATCATCCTTGTTCATCGATGATGCTTCTCAGGTACATGAAAGATTCCATATCTTCCAGAGTTTCTCCATCAAGTGTGATTGTGTCAGTGTTCTCCGTGTAGTATTTGGGGATTTTGCTTTTTGAAAATAACTAAAGCAAGCAAAAATAATGAAAAGAAATTGATTGATTTTCCTTTCTTTTCTTTTTTCTTTACTTTTGAATATGTAGCAAGAAATTTCTGATACTTATCAGTGTATACCATGTGAAATTACAAGTGTAGCTCGAAAACAACGATCAATTGTACAAGAACTTGGTGAAATACCTTTCACATGTTTAAGAATATAAGATATAAGTTGAGTTACTTGGATATTGTACTATATCTGGTTTGATATATATTCATGTGAACCTATCACTATCACTGTAATACATCTCAAGAGATTGTATGAATTAACTTATAATATATCTTTAATTTTTTGGCTATGAATTTGTAAATCTTATTAGAACTGTATTATGTGATTACGTATACACTAAAACAAAGAGAACCGTGAGTAATGATGGAATCAGTAATAAAGGTAGTAGTAGTGGTTTTTTTTAAAACCAGTAATTCTGTCGTAAGATGTCAGTCGTGGTCCTAATGTGATAAGCGGGAACAAAAGTGAGGACAATCGAATGTATTTGAAAACGGCATTACAGAATATCTTATTAAAATCTGAGAACCACACAGCAAATACTTCATTTACAAAATGTCGATCCGTATCGGGTAGAGACAGGTCTCTACCTCAGTACAATGAAAGATGGTCGCTCAATTTTGTGGATTGGTTGAGGTTAGACATTAACACCGTTGGATGCCGGTTGGCTCAGTGGTCTACAGGCTAAACGTTCGCGCACGAGACCGAAAGCCCTTGGTTCGAATTTCACGAGTAGGTTCGTGGATTCTCACTGTTAAGGAGTTACCCATTGGGACAAAACGGCCGTCCAGTGCTTCCAGGTTTCCAATGGTGGTCTAACATCAATCGATTCATGATCTCAATCAAAATGTCAATCAATTGTCTCAAGATTGACTGCTCCTTTTGTAAATATCAATCAACCATCTCATACCTCACTGTTTGTTCATTTCCACAGCAATCATCTTCTGTTCTCCTTCTCTTTTCTTCGATCTTCCTAACTTTCGATTTATGACACATACTACTTATATCTGTTGACATCAGTAACACACATCACACTAGCATCTCACTGGGTGCATCGTTCGTCCAGATTCTACATAGAACATTAGCTCTATTAGGATTTCGTATATGCTTAAATGATGAGAAGTTAGTTAACACTAAGCCTATATTCAGAGCTTTAAGACGATTATTCCCGAACACGATTAATGAGAAATCAATTATTCAGTTTGACCTATTCAAAATAAGGATTATATCCATCAGGATCTAAAGTTAATCAGTATTAAGTGTTGAAATGTAATTGAATAGGCTGTCGTCTAGATCAACAGATTCGTGGATATCTGTTATTGAAGGGGTATTCGTCACTTGTTTTCGTAAATTTACAGTTAATATAGAGATTGTATAAAAATTTCCTCTGATATTTTAAATTTTGTGCAAAACTTAATTATCTTTTCATAAAAAAACTCATTTGATTAGATGTTCTCAATTTGTAGGTGAGAAGTGGTGAGGAGACCTATACCAGTGCTAAGCAGCCATCAAATACTTTTTTGTTTTTTTAGTAGTTATCTAGTTAGGATCATTCAGTGATGTTAACTGTGAAGTTCTTCAACCTCTGGAAACTCAAAACCAGTAATAATTCTGTCTTTACTGATAACTTATTTCGAAGAGAAATTCCCGTATCTCCAATTAGAAATCTTGACCAGTTGAGGGGCGGCCAAATAAAACGTGGCATCAGTCGATGAAGTCACAAATTTCTAGTCTTAGCCATGTCGGTAGGTGCAGGCTACTTGGTTTGGGTCTGCGTGAATATCGTGACCAATGGTTATAGACTCTGGGTGACGTTGCTCAGAACCGATCACAATAGCATAGGTGTATACGCTCCTTGTCTTCCCTTAAACTGTGAGGTTCAAATTGCTCTATATCTTTCTTTCTATCAACTAACTTCAGCAGTGCACACCGACAATCCCTCTCGCAGGGTTCGAACCCAGGGCCCTCAGTCATTGTTTATGTTCAATTGTGGTGAATGTTGACTTTTTGAAGAATTTATCAACTTGAATGTGTTTTTATTTAACGTTAACTAATAATTATTCCGATCATGCAATGAGAAGACGTAGTTTATCAGAATTATGTGATGATAGATTTGAGCAATACATTTCGAACAATCTGATCACACATAAGATACTTGCTAAGAATATTTATATAGGAAAAATTAAAAGGTCAACTAGACAGGTTAAGGGTAAGTCATAACAAAGGAAAAAGTATTAAAGTACACAAAAACAAATGTGATTACCACTCTGGATAGTAAATCAGTACTACTGTAGTGAACAAGAACACGGGTGGGGACGATCGACTGTATTTAGCACAAAGATTACAGACTATCTCAATAAAATGTGAATACCATAAAGTCAATCGTCAATTTGCAAAATATCATTCGATCATATCAAACTGTACTGTTCCCGTTGCAAACACTAATCCATTGTCTCCCATTCCATTGTACATGCGTTTTCTTACAATTCCATTGTGCTCTTGCTCTTCCTTTCTTGATCTTCGCCATCTTCTGCTGCCGGACCTTACGTTTATTTAATGCACGTTATATACTACTTATATGAATATAAGTAGCTCACACCACACTCGTCCCCCCCTTAAAGCAGTCGTTCTTGTGGTGGTTCATGCTCGCCGTGCAACATTCTCCGTCTCTGCAGTCTGTGCCACGCTCTCCGTCAAGATGTCGAGTCTGCGGCGCGCTGACTTCCACAGCTCTGTCGACCTGCCGGGGCAACAACAACCAACATCCACTCGGCACCTGGGACGCTTGACATCCGCACTCCACCGGCCTGCTGGGCCATCTACACCCGATGTCCGCCCAGCAGCCGCGCGTCCCAACGCTCCACTCCGTCGACAGCACCCGTCACAGCCAACGCAGCCCCGCCAGGACACTTCACCAGACACCACCTCTCCGCACCAGACTGCCCCAACTGGCACCTCAACTCCAGGCCCGCAACGGCGTCCGCAGAACAGCACACTCCTCCTCTCCTGGGTGGCAGCGACACCAAATGTAGTGAAGAAGAACACGGGTGGGGACAATCGATTGTATTTAGCACAAAAATTACAGACTATCTCAATAAAATGTGAATACCATAAAGTCAATCGTCAATTCGCAAAATATCATTCGATCATATCAAACTGTACTGTTCCCGTTGCAAACACTAATCCATTGTCTCCCATTCCATTGTACATGCGTTTTCTTACAATTCCATTGTGCTCTTGCTCTTCCTTTCTTGATCTTCGCCATCTTCTGCTGCCGGACCTTACGTTTATTTAACGCACGTTATATACTACTTATATGAATATAAGTAGCTCATACCACACTACCAGGGTAGGTTAAGTGTAAGTACAAATTGTTTTTGAACACATAAAGGGGGTTTCAATTTTCGTATAGCCAAGGCTTCAATAAACCTTAGTATACGTCCTTGAAGGCTTTTGTACAACACAACAAATGCTGATTTGATATCAACCTTATGACGAAATCGTATATAGACAAATGCCATGATAAGTTGATCAATTTAATTGAACTTCATACTCAACCATTACCTGTATTAACAGAATTGTCTATAGTTTGCCATATCAAATTCATCAATTTTTGTAGTACTGTCATTTTGAAAACAAAAGAAGGGTTAAAGGAAAAGCTAGAAAAATCTTGCTGCAATAATAATAATCTCACTTCCTTCCCAATCAATCCTGATAAATATGTCACTAATTTGTCCTCCATTGTATTGTCTGTTCATGAAAAGGAGGCATTGTCCTTGGGTTTAAAATTTTCCGTTCCTATAACACAAATCTCTGAATTGACAGTCAATGCCCAATTTGAAAACCTCTATGATCAATTGAGTACTTTAACCCCTTCGTCCTTAGAGAATCAAAGTTGGTTTAAAGCCGAACTAGTGGATATAGCGCATCATTTTCATTCTTCTGGACCAAAGCAGAGAAGCATATTAACTTCTCAGTATTTCAAATCATTAAAAGAATTGCGAAATAATGCCGATATTATTATACTTAAACCCGATAAAGGATCTGGTGTTGTTATTATGAATAAGTCAGATTACAAAAATAAAATGAAATCCATTCTCAGTGATAAAAGCAAATTTTTGGCTGATGTTGACTTTGATGGATTACGTAAATTAGAAAAGAAAGTGAACTCGAATCTTGTGAAATTGTTAAACATGAATGCTATTAACAAAGATGAGTTTAATTTATTAAAACCTATGGGTTCGGCATATCCTAATTTATATGGATTACCGAAAATTCATAAGCCTAATACCCCCCTACGTTCAATTCTATCTGTGTGTCGGTCACCTACACACAACCTGGCAAAATGGCTTACAAAATTATTAAACCCTATCAGAAATCAATATTGTAAGTATTCTTTGACTGACTCATTCGAATTAATCAATTACTTAAAGGATATAAATATAAAGACAAAGACAATGTGCTCCGGGTGGTGCGGGGTCGTGGATGCGCACTGCTGAGGAGTCCCATACTAGGACGAAACGGCCGTCCAGTGCTTCCAGGTTTTCAATGGTGGTCTAGCTTCAACTGACTCATGAGTTCAATCTGTGAAAATTACAAATGTACCTCTTAGGAAAACCATTGATATTTTGTGTGACTTTATTTCTTCGAAAAACCTTCCACTGCCTTTTCCTGTTAAAACTCTTAAAGATTTATTATTATTATGTACAGACAATGTAAAATTCACATTTGAAGGTGAACACTTCAGACAAATAGATGGTGTAGCTATGGACAGCCCTCTAGGACCATTGCTAGCTGATGTGTTCATGGGGTATGTGGAAAATTTAGTTGGAGACTCAATTCGAAAGATGAGTCTGTATAAACGATATGTAGACGACATAATAATCATAGGTGATAAAATTGAAGACATAAGCCACTTGTTAGAAAAATTCAATAGTAGTCAAAACCACATTTCTCTTACATGTGAAGAAGAGAAGAACAACCAACTTCCTTTTCTTGACATCCTGATTACTAGGAGAGATGATGGTTCCATCAAACGTGCTACATATAGAAAACCAACATGGACAGGACAATATCTTAATTTTCATAGTCACTGCCCTATTCATTATAAACGCGGTTTAATAAAGAGCTTATTCAATAGAATCAATCGTATTTGTACTAGTGATACTATTGAAGTAGAGATGAAGCTCTTGACTGATACGTTAATCAATAATGGTTACCCTT